CACTCAGGGTCAACCTAAGTCTGAAACAACTTGAAAGCACACAACAACAACAACAACAACAACAACAACAATCCTATCTCATGAGCCAAAAGCAGACCCACACTTCCCATTGAAATACTAATAAGTTTATATTTGTTAAATTGTTCTTCATTTTAATTATTGTATTGTTTTTAAGTGATTTTTGCACTAGAAATAAGATATGTGGTATGCATAGGAATTCATTCATGTTTTTTTCAAATTATAATCCGGCCCTACAACGGTTTGAGGAACTGTGACCTGGCCCTCTGTTTAAAACGTTTGTGGACCCTTGGTCTACACAGTACTCAGAGTACTGAACTCAGAGTACTGTCTACACTGAGTATTTGTGTAGATACAGTATTGGCAGCTGGGTTAGTGGCAAAATCGTATTCCTATCTCATCATCCGTGTTGTGCATCCTCCTGTAGGTAAGTAACTGCCTATCTGTAGACAAGTAAAGGCCTGCCACCAAGGGCTTAGGAGAGGCTATTATTGACCAGAATAGTTGGAGTTCATTGATTATACATGTTCGTGATCTCAACAGAATGCTATACATGATCATTAGTGGGATTCTGTCATTTCATGTCTTTAGTTTGTTCTGTATTAGATCAGTCATGATGGCAGGTCTTGCCTTATTCATTTGTTGTTGGGGTTTCATTTTTTAGTTTGTTTTTGTTCTATATGGTGGGTACATTCACTTGAAGAATGCTTGTTATGAATCCAGGATTTGAAATCCCTGACTTGTGGTTCTGAGCAGATGCAATCATATCAAAGGGCTTGGTTATAAACTATGAATTTTGTAGTGTGTTCAGAATGAAAATTGGAGACATGTAAGTACATGTAGCAGCCAGTAGGTTTGCAATATAACATGGGGCTTATATTGCAAGTAGTAGTATCCAGATGGCAAAATTATCTGTTAATAGTGCCAGTCTGAAATCGAGGTAAGGTGGAAATTGTTAAAATTTTTGTGGAATGTCAACAGTTCTGAGGGAAACCTGTATGGTGGTGATAATAAAACGGATAAAGATAGGGAAACTGATACTTGCACTGGCGTATATCAATGTGGGACATATCAAGATATATCAGGGATTGGATATGAAAATATAATTGTATACCGGTGATAAATTTTACCCCCTAGGTTTGGGAACAGGGGCTTTAAATCCAACAATGCCAAAGATTTATTCAGTCTTCTCATGCTGTGCATTTGACCTGTTCCATTTCTTTTTTCATATCTCAGCATAAGATTTGCAGACATTTTTGGGATCTCTCTCATTGAAGGCTCACCGTTTGCCTTTCTTTGGATGTCCAGCTAAACGTATGCCCTGTGAGATGTCTACCTAGAGACCATAACATTGCATTAGAAGTCATTTTTTTCATTCTATGAGATTTTTAGAAAAATATGCAAACAATTCTGCCCAGATTACAGTTCCGTGGAATGAATTAATACAAAGTCACTGAAGCTTTATAATGTTCACAAACTTTGGTATGTAAAGTTGAAAAGAAGGGATTAAGTAACTGTAAATGCATTAAAAATCCTCAAAATAAGACATGTTTCAAATTTTGACACTCCAAAAGCCTTTTTTTATTAGCATGAAATATAAACATCTAAATTCTTGAATCTGAACATCCAAAACTTAAGTTAAGCCTTGCATATCTGATTTCATGCACACGTTACCAATAGGCTTTTGGAAAATATTAGGATGCAAAAATTCAAATGTAAGTAAACATGTTGTCATTGCTGTGCAGTTTTGATGCATTTAGAAATACATTCAACATCAGAGGTAGTAACAGGCATTCCACAGATATGTGAACATTTCAGTCTCTGTCCCATATCCATCAGTCATCTTCTCTTGATATAAATATGCTTTCTCAAAAACAGTTTTTAATAAGTTGGATAAAAGGATTGGATTCTAGAGTGTTTACTTATTTTCTAACACTATATCCCAGATCTTTATTTCATTCTCACTTTTGGGGAAGGGAGATAATGTCAACAAGAAAACCTGGATCTAGTGCAAATAAGATGTGTTTTGCACAAAAAATGGTTTTCTATGCAAAATATGTGCTTGAAATAAAACAGGTTGGGTTTTTTTTGTTTTGTTTTGTTTTTTGCCCCAAATCCAAACCGTTTTGGAGCAATTTACAATTTTTTAGTGGAAAGTCTTGGGTGACAAGGGACCTTCTTACATCAAGAATATGAAAACCAATGGGTATTCTTTGCATCTCTTACTGCAAAAATGAACAGAAATTATGCTATTTCTTGAACCAAAGAATTACTTTTAGATGGGGAAACCATACTAATAGGGATTGGAAGTTCAATGACATCTGGGGAGCTGCTAGTTAATGTCCACCATGGTGAAGCATGTGTTCCTGCAATATAACTTTTTTTGCCTAATATTATGAATCCACTTTTTCGTTCTTTTGGGGTCCTGTTTGTAGCAATTTCTTGATGGTTCAATAGACAAAAGCTACCTTGGTGCACAGCAGGTTAAACCACTGCACTGCTGAACTTGCTGACCAAAAGGTTGGTGGTTCAAATCCAGGGAGTGGGGTGAGCTCCTACTGTTAGCTCTAGCTTCTGCCAACCTAGCAGTTCGAAAACATGCAAATGTGAGTAGATCAATAGGTATCACTCCAGCAGAAAGGTAGCAGCACTCCACATGACCTTGGAGGCATCTATGGACAACTCCAGCTCTTCAACTTAGTAATGGGGAAACCTTCTCCTTTTTTACATTTATTTATGTTTATTACCTCTTGAATTGGCCATGCCCCCCCCCACACACACACACACACACAAAATGACATCAGTGAAATCTACACGGCATCATGAGGATCAGAAAAAAGCTCACCAGCCCTCCATGTGTGCCTATTTCAAGGAATGGGCACCTACTTTTACAAGGTTTTTTTTATTAAATTAAAGAGTAGTTTGTAATGTAAGTCAAATATGTGTTCAGGGAGAGAGTAACACATGTGGGAATTTCATGAAGACCTATAAATCAAATAAATGGTGTGATTTCTCTTTCTTGGACCTATCTTCTGCCATCAAAATAATTATATTTCAAGAGACCTGGTTTCTGAAAGAAATACTATTAGATTATTATATTTTTATAATGACAGCTACCAAGCCCCCTACTTCAAAAGACTGTGCATGGAGAGATATGGCCTATGGTATAATAAGAGTTCTTGTGCTTTGTCCAGAAGAACAGTTTTCCAACTCACCTTGGCCTCCAACCATCAATCTACCATTTAGCAGGTGTCATCTAATGCCTATCAGTGTTCATATTCCCCACCTTACTATTCCACCCAAATGTGGCAGGCACTTGGTGACTCAACTGGGACATATTTGTCTGAGATTTCTATCATCTAGGATCATTTTGGATATAAATTGAAAATTGCCTGGGGATGACATAAATAATCTACTAAGGCTCAGCCATGGCTTAGGCGGCCTGTGAATGAACAGATTGAGCTTTTCTGACAATCTAATTGAGGATTATGCTATATGTGTGGTCCAAGGATGTGGTTATTTTCCCCATCAGCAGGTTGTGGCACTTGTTGTTATTGTTGTCATGGGTAAATGCAAAACAGCCATGCAGGCAGGACTTAAAGTTAGGAAGAGCTGCTCCTATTGTGAGTTTGCTTGAAATGTAGCAGCTGATTTTCTACCTGTGGGGAGAAAACCTATGGAGGGGGCTTACTTTTTTTACCTTCACAGGTAGAAAGCAGAAAGAATTTGGGGCTGAGGCATGTGGAAATGTATCCTAATCTAAAGGGGAAATGGCACTATATCCATATCAATATTGAAGCATTGCACAGTAGAAAGTACTAGATTCACTTCTCAGTTTGAAAGGCAATTACTGTTGGCAAGAACCTCTACCAGAAGCCCAGAAGTCATGTTGTTTGTCAAAATAGAAAATTGTGGGAAATAGTCCAACAAAGGATGCATCTACATATAGAATTAATGCAGTTTGACACCACTTCAACTGCCAGGGTTCAATAGCATGGACTCCTGGGATCAGTACTTTGCTGAGGCACCAAAAGATCTTGCAAAACTACCAATCCTTAGTGTTGATCTCTAATGATTAAAATGGCATCAAACTGCATTGATTTTACTGTTTGGATGCACCCCTATAAGACAGATTCAAGGTCAATTTGCATTCTTTTGAAAATTAGAATTAATAAAATGAACATTGTACAGTATGTCTACCACATATCATTTGATTTACAATTAAAATTCTTGGTAGGTCCAACACTATAGCCCTTATTACACTCGTAAATGGCAGCATCTTCTCAGATACCTTCCCAGGGATCACTCACAGTCTCAGCATGTATCTCAAAAATGTATGTTAAGAAACCACAGCCAAGATGCTGCAATGCAGAGCACAGCACACAGTCCCACAGTTGGAACTCTGCAACAGCTCCCCACTCACCATCCCCTGAACTCATTATGGTTTTGGTATTATAGGTCCCCTGAATGGTAATTCCCGAGTTGATAGGAAATGGTGAGAGTCAGAAAAGAGTCTGGCTATGGCCCATACCCAGACGCAAGTCAATGGCATCTTCCAACTCAAGATTCTCACTGTCTTGGCAAATGATTTCATTTGTCTGCAAGTGTCTATAGGGCGTGGCCACATGCTTCACCATTATCTCAGGCTCTCCATCAGTCAGGAGGAATACCATAGCAAAACTGTTAATCCTGGGGGATGGTGATGACTTTGCTTGTTGCAAAGTCATCACCAGAGAAAGAAAATACAAACCTCTCAGTGTCCAGAAAAAGATGTACACAAGGGTAGGTGGACTTGCTTATGTCCACCTACCCTTATGTTGGCTCATATTTAAGAACATACAAGTTGAAACTGAAATCCCAGTTGTCAATAGAAACAACAAGGGGAAAGTTACAGAAAACAGTAATGCAAGGTGCAATGGGGACAAACAAGTATTTAGTTAGCAGGCGAAAAAGAGTATTGTACAAAAATCTGCATTGACCAGTTAGCTCTAAACCATTGAATATTTCCAATTTGGGATGCTTCCCTTTGTGCTCATGATGTTAAGGAGGACAGCAATTATGACAAAATTAGGAGTTACTGAGAGATGGGAAGATGAAAAGAGGCAGAATTTCATAACACTGTCCACCTGTGATGAGTTCATTCCGCAAATTCTATGCCAGTGCCAAGACATTATTGAGAGTCCACATCAACATACTAAGCAGAGCTACGAGAAAGAAGCTTGGCTCCCTTCCATCAGCTCCACTGATGCCTTGGTTCTTGATTTTGTTGTTAGACTTCCTAGCATCAACAAACTGAAGATCAGGAATAATCCTTCCAATCCAGTCCTGGTATGAAGTCAAGCGAATGTACACACCAGGACGGTTCCTCTCGGCACAGCCTTCTCCCCAGCTCACAATACCAGCCAGGAGCCATTCCCGGTTGATCTTACACATGAGCGGTCCTCCAGAATCACCCTAGAAAATATAAAGTTAAATGGGGAAAAATATGAAACAGTCAGCATAATGAGAATAGTCTCCTAACCTCACAGTGATCCAAATGCCTTGTACTATAAAATGATTTGAAAGACAGTCTTGAGGAATTATATTTGCTGGTCTAATCTGGTCTAATATTATCAAAATATATTTTCTCAAGAAAGAAAATGCATTAAATCTGTGTTTTGAGAAAAAAATATTTTTTAGAAATGCATATTTTGAGAAATAATATCGTTACATATTCTTTTAGTCAGTGGGCCCCTGGTATTGCCCCTGGTGGATTCCAAACTCTATGGATGCTGAAGTCCCATTATATATAATAGCAATGGTATAGTGAAACTGTTCTCTTAAATATAGTGAGCTTGGCTTTTGGGAATCAAGCTTGGCTTTTGGGAATATGTGTGTGTGCATGTTAAAAAAATTACTTTGATAGCTACAACAATTCCCAGTGAATTGTCGAGGGCTTTCATGGCCTGAATCACTGGGTTGCTGTAAGTTTTTTAGGCTGTATGGCCATGTTCCAGAAGCATTCTCTCTTGACAATAAACCCCATTTTCCTAGTTTCCAACAAACCTCACAACTTCCAAGAATGCCTGCCATAGATACAGGTGAAACATCAGGAGAGAATGCTTCTGGAACATGGCCATACAGCCCAAAAAACTTACAGCAGCCCAAATTCCCAGTGAGTCTGACTAATTGTAATTCTAATTGTAACTTAATTAATTAGGGGTATTGTGGGGGCACGGGGGGGGGGGGGGGGGGGGGGGGGGGGGGATACACGTATTGCAGGTAGGGCTGTCTTTGTTTTTTTAAATATTGTATATTTATCTAAGCAGATTGCAAGAGAACAGCTACAACTGTAATTTGGTATCAGGATGCGAGATAATAAACCTTGTTGACAACAGTCCCTCACCTTGCATGTATCTTTCATGCCCTCCGCATATCCAGCACACATCATGTCATTTTGGATTTGTTTCCGGGGCAGGCTCTGGCCCATATCAATATTGTAAAGTCTTCTACAGGTCTGGATGTCTATTATGGGCACCTGGAGTTTCTGGAGCTTCTTTGGAGAAGGTAGGTCCTCTGAAATGAAGAACAGAAGTTAGTGAGAGAAGAGCCAAAAACAGATATCAAAAGTAATCCCTCAACTATGTGGTAAGTTAGACGCACATTATTTTATTAGCTATTGAAAGGAGAAAAGTGTGTAAGATGGGGTGAGTAGGTATCCAGACCTCATCTAGTATTCTCTTAAATGTGTGTGATACGATCCTGACTCTCATGCATTACTACTGTTTGTTATAAACACATTCTAAAGTGCAGCAATATTCCATATTCAAATCATCAGGATGGACTGACAGACAATCACAGAACACTGAACTTGCAAATAGCAGTGCTGTTTTTAGCATGTTGTTGTTGTTGTTAGCATTGAGGACAACTTTTTTTTCTTTTATGGAAAATCTCCTGAAACCAGCAGTCAATGACTCACACCATTATCTATCCAGGACCCACTGTTTTGAATTACAGTGGAATAGATTACTTCCAAAACCCCTTTCAGTTCTTGAATCTATGATTCGGTTTCATTGCATTGTTTAATTATTATTTGTTTATTTATTTATGATATTTCTATCCCGCCTTTCTCAAATCCGAAGGTGACTCAAGGCGACTTACAACCAGGAAGCACTTTGACATCCAACAATATACAATTAACAGAATTAAAATTACATTCAATAAAACCTTTAAAAACACACAAAACCAATGCCTTCATTGTTAGTCTCATTGTCCAAAAATCGTTGTCTGAGCAGTTCCAATGTTTACTTTCATCTAATTCCATGTTTGACTGTTGCATTTGATTCTGAAGTCTTGTTCAAATAGCCACGTTTTCACTTTTTTTTAAGGTGAAGAGGGAGAGCGCTGATCTAATATCCCTGGGGAGAGCGTTCCACAACTGAGAAGCCACCACTGAGAAAGCCCTGCCTCTCATCCTCACCAGTCACACCTGTGAAGAAGGTGGGATTGAGAGCAGGGCCTCCCTGGACAATCTTAAACTTTTTGGATGGTTCATAGGGAGAGATACGTTCGGACAGTTCTGGGCCAGAACTGTTTATAGCTTTATAGGCTAAAGCCAGCACTTTGAATTGTGCCCGGTAGCAAACTGGCAACCAGTGCAGTTGGAATAACAATTCCCAACAAAGAAACAGAAATGGAAAGATGCAATAGGACTTCCTGGTGAAGTACAGGACAGGGATCCTATACCTTTAAAGCTCATGTGACTAGCAACACCTGCTGAAATTCCCTCTCTTCACAACTCTTAAAGGTACAAAAGCCTTCTCCTGTATTTCACTTGTCAAACTAGGATGCAAATAAACTTAAAAACTTGTTTGTTTGTTTGTTTGTTTGTTTAGCACAAGTGGCTAATTATCTTTTCACCAAAAACAGGCAACAGTGACTGCATTGTCTGTAGCCTCAAACAATTCTTCCTTTGCAGACATTGCAGTCAAGCATACAGATGCAAAGTTGTCTGTTCTGCTCCACAGTCACACAAAGTGGAGGATTCTTTTAGGTAGTACCATTTTACCAGGTTGTCTTTTGATCTGCCAACTCCACTTCTGAGTCTGTTCAGAGACTTCCAAGTTGCCCATTCTTGGTTTGCCCCCAAGGCAGACCCTCGTGGAGGCCCATCCAATTGGGATGTTTTCTAAAAGGAGGAATATGTTTTATATATTTCCTAGGCAAAGAACTGTTACATCCTCTTCCAGTACTTACGTCCTTCACTGATGTCTCCCCATCCAGTGACCCAACACTTCATGCCTGGGGGGAACTCCACATTGGCTGTAGGCACACATATTGGAATGATGTAATTTGTGAACCTCACTGGATGAGCCAACCGTACTAAGGCAATGTCTCCACTTGTAGCCTCCCCTGCATATCGTGGGTTTCTGATGATATTTCCAACTCCTATGGATTGCTTGTGGGGCCGGGAATTTTCCAGGTTGTTGGCACCTAACACCACAGTATATCGGTATGGATCATCATCTCTGCAAGAAGATGGATCAAAAATAGGTGTGAGGGAACATTTCTACAATGACTTAAAATTTACTTTGTTGGAAGTGTCTTGGATGTTAATTAAACTCACGGTTGGAAACAATGTGCTGCTGTCACCACCCACTCATGGGTGATGAGGGCCCCTCCACATATATGTTTGCCCATCTTCCTTACACTTGCCTGCCATGGCCACTCGCCTTCTACAGAGTCCTCACCCCCAACATTCCTATTCAGGGTAGCTGGTCGGCCACATACTGGAAAAGAAAGGAGTACAGAGGATTAAACTCAATACTGTTCAACCTGTGGTACAAACTACAAACTACATACCACACATACATACTTTATTTGGTTCACATTAAATTAAATGGGTTGTTATCTGTATTGGACTGCCTTTGAACAGCCCAGCCCAACTCAATAACTACAGAATGCAAGCAACTCTGGTGTTAATAAGAGCCACACAGCCCCTTCTACACTGTCATATAAACCAGATTATCAAAGCAAATAATCCACATTATCTGCTTTGAACTGGATTATATGAGTCTATGCTGCCATATAATCCAGTTCAAAGCAGATAATCTGAATTTTAGATGGCAATGTAGAAGGGGCCTCACTGGGAGCATGTAGTTCATTTCTTAATCCCTGGTAGACTATGGTGACTTCAGTGCTATCAACGGAGTGCTGATTCCATCCTGGATTTTAATATGAATTTTGAAAGAGTTATATGCTGAACCTGCTTTGGGCTCAGAGACTAACATCTTGGATAACTTCTTAAAAGTTCAGATGAAAACCAAGAGGATATTGCACCATTCCCCACTGACTAAATAAACGGTATTGGGTTCCATTTAATTTCTAGACCACGTTCAAAGTGTAGATGACAGAGCAAACCTAAGTGGTGTTGCTGCTAATGATTAAAGCCAACTTGATACCTCCTATGACTGATACCTAGGCTAGGCTACCCATTGACTTTGGCTTCAACACAGTGCTGATAGGTTGGCATCATCCTCTGCCTATATGGAGGCGAGCAGGGTATATAGAGAAGACCATGTGGTCAGACAGATCTATGCAATCCCTGCCCATCATGATTTTCTCTCTAATGCAGCCACCACAAATGATCAAACAACCTCAGGTTGTATACTTGTATACTGCCCAATAACAAAAAACCTATTAAAACAATAACAGTTCAAAGCATATAAACAAATAAACAAATAAATATGAATTATAAAACACACACTGTCCATATAATGTTGTTTAGGGCACACATTTCATAAATGGGGATTGTGTTTAATGACTTGCTTGAGCTAAATAACAACTTACCCTGACGAGTACGGGACAAATGGGAACCTGAAACAAAAAGATGGATAATAACTTCAAACCTTACTTCATGTATTGCTTGTAATAGCCTACATCAACTATGTACTTATGTATTTGTAACTAAATAACTTCTCCTCCTCTGACCTCACAAACACACCTTCATTGTGTGAAGAATGGGGAGATGACATTTCCATGTGCCTACTACCAGCAAGTGGCCCGTATGTAGTCACTTAGCAGTGGTCCTGCTTCTGATTATCACTTGATACAACTGAAGGTTAAGGTGGCCCTGGAGAAGCATTTACAATTATGGCAATAGTATTATGATAATGAATATTCAGAGGTGATTAATCAGTCCCTTCATCTGAAGCATAGCCTACAGCACTCAATATTCATTGTTGTTTGTTGTTGTTTATTCATTCAGTTGCTTCGTGACCTCATGGACCAGCCCACGCCAGAGCTCCCTGTCGGCCATCACCACCCCCAGCTCCTTCAGAGTCAAACCAGCCACGTATTCATTGGCAACCTCTAATCTGAATACAGTACAATACCAGAATCCAAAGAGGATATGTCCCTGAACTTACCATAGAAACAGTATAATGAACTCTATTGAAATGAATGACTTCCAGCAGAACTCACTATATAGTTGTATTGGAGGACCTATACAACTCAGACCACTGGTATAGAAATTTGCTATGCCAACCAATGCAACTCTGATAACTTCCAGTGGAAGCATTCCATAGACTCACCTGGAGGAACTAGAAAAGTCCTAAACATGACACATTTTATCAGATGCAGGTGTGTGAAACCATGGGTACCAGTTCTGTGGGTATGGAGGTCATACTATACTAATCAGGACTGATCCTGCTAAACTTCTAAGATATATGAAATCTTGAGTAGTTGGCAAAATAATGGTATTATATAAGCTAGACCAATAAACTATTTGACCATCTATTTTAGACCGCCAACATTAAAATACATGTCTAGAGACTCATCAGAAGCTGATCTATCATCATTCCAAGAATATTTCTGTGTGGAAAAAACTGGGCAGTTCTGAATATCCACCAGATGTAATTTTCAAATTAAAAAACACACACTATTTCATTAAGGCAGATATACGTTCCCCAAGCCATTTTAACTGTGTATTTGCCTTCTTCTAATTCTATGTGGCATCATGGTTTCCATGTGGAATTGCTGCAAACGTGCCACTTTTATCCCTGACTGTGGCATTTTTTTCCTTCCTGTATTAGTCATGCCAGTCCAACAAGCCTCATAAAATGAATGATATGTCACTGCACAATAATAGCTGAACAGATTTAGCTGTGTCTTGACACCCATAGGAGCATTTTTATTTATCGTGTCAGTATCAATCAAACAATTGCATTACATTTTTAACAAAAAAATTAACAAACAGACAAAACAGAGTTTGCAAGCTTGGTAGTTGATTAAATGTCCTTTGACCAGTATCTGGCCACTTGGAGTGCCTCTGGTGTTACTGCAAGGAGGTCCTCCATTGTGCATGTGGCGGGGCTCAGGTTGCATTGTAGCAGGTGGTCTGTAGTTTGCTCTTCTCCACACTCGCATGTCGAGGATAGGAGCAAATAAGGACAAACTGCCCTATACCACAAGATCTGTTCCCAGATTATCTTCTTTGAACAGGATTATATGAGTCTACACTGCCAAATAATCTGGAATAAGAAGATCATCTGGGATCAGTAGGGAAGTGTAGGAATGAGCTTGAGATGTAGGAATGTATTTTTGAAATCTGTAATGTGTGAATTAATCCTTTGGATGATCACACAATAAGCATGCTAGCAGCAAGACTTGTGCACGGATTTGTTTTGACTGTTTTCCTTCTGCTTCATCGGCTTCTTTGGATGCCCATAATGGCAAAGGCTCTGCCATCATGTTTTTTTCTTTTGACAGAGCCAGATCACATGACACCACACAGTGTGTGGAGAGGCTGCCATGTTGTTGCAGGGGTTTCCTTGTGAGCCTTGCCTGTTGGGCCAATCAGAATATAAGAAAACCGTGACATGTCTTACGCAAGCTAGGTCTGTTTAATGGGACAAGCACCTCCATTTCTCAGTTACGTCCTGGCTCTAGAGGAAGGAGTCTACGGACAATGCCGGATCTTCAGCTTAGATGTCAAGGGAAAACCTTTACCTTTACTTTTCAATATGCAGCAAAAAAACCCAAAAAAAACCCCAAAACAAACACCAAATGCATTCTCACCTGTAATATGATATAGCTAATTAATCCATGCCAATTCAAATATAATACCAGTTTTATTTTTATAATCTTATAACCTCTGTAAATCTATCTCTTGTGTTTGACACAATCCCAAATGTAATCTATTCAGTTTATCATAAAATTCAGTCACCATAAGTTATCAGAGGGTGCATCTACACTGTAGAATTAATGTAGTTTGACAACAATTTCATTGCCATGGCTAAATGCTATGTATCTGAAAGTCATTTTAACTGATTTGAGAGAGAATCATATCCCAGAAACATTTTCCTGCTCTGTCAAGTTCTGCAACATTTTACCTTCTTGGGGGGGGGGGGGTGGAGGTGAAGAAAAGAATGAATGCAGTAGCACAATGCTGAATTATAGATGGACAAAGGACCTCTGATCCCTCCCTCCCTTCCTATCAACAAAAAAAAACCCAAAACATTCCTTCTCCTCCTCTTTTTGGTGAAATGCCCCAGTCCATCTTATTAAGGTAAATATCAGAAAACATTACTGAATATATTTGGGAGCACAGGAGCTGAGCCTTGGAAGAAAAAATAATTAAAGGAACAAACAAAGGGGAGGTTCTAGCAGGTCCTTAAAATGCAGAAGCTGGCGTATTAATATCAGGTAAGATGCCTCAAGCCATAAAGAAGTTTGCTTTGGTACTTTTTGGCAATGTCTCCTGGCCAGGAACTAGCAGAAGTTTATCACCTTGATGACAGCTCTCTCTATGAAAGATCTGGGTGGTTTTTCAATGAGACCTCATGCAAACAATCTGAATTGTGATACACTCTCCTGTGGTACCAAATGTCAAAGCAGCCAATAGGAGTGACCCTTATCTATTTATTTATTTATCTATTTATCTATTTACTGTATTTATATACCACTTTTCTCACCCCTGGGGGGACTCAAAGCGGTTTCCAACATAGTCATTGGCAAAATTCAATGCCAAACATACATGTGAAAAACCAGAACAAAAATCAAACAATTATCTATAACTATGAAATAAAATTATTAAAACCACATTAAACCATGAAACATAGGCAATATTTAGACATTAAGACATATAATTAAAACATATTAGTATAAACATTAAAATCACAAAATCTAGAATCATAATCTGAAGCCATTCCAATTGTCAGTTGCAAATATTCCCTATTCGTTTCTTGCACTGCTCACTAACCAAAGGCTTTGTCCCACAGCCATGTCTTTGCTTTCTTTCTGAAGGCCAAAGGGAAGGGCGCTGATCTAATGTCTCTAGGGAGGGAATTCCAAAGCCGAGGGGCCACCACTGAGAAGGCCCTGTCTCTCGTCCCCACCAATCGCACCTGCAAAAGAGGTGGGATAAAGAGCAGGGCCTCCCTAAAAGATCTTAATCTCCAAGATAGTTCATAGATTGAGATCCGTTTAGACAGGCAAACTGGTCCCAAACCATTTAGGGCTTTATAAGCCAGTACTTTGAATTGTGCTTGGTAGCAGACTGGCAGCCAGTGGAGCTGACGTAACAGAGGGATTGTATGCTCCCTGTACGCTGCTCCTATGAGAAATCAGGCTGCCATCCGTTGGACCACTTGAAGCATCTGAATAATTTTCAAAGGCAACCCCACATAGAGTGTGTTGCAGTAGTCTATTTGAGATGTAACAAGAACGTGGACCACCATGGCCAAATCTTGCTTCCCAAGGTATGAGCACAACTGAGTGGTAAAATCCAATCTTATGTTTTTATTATGTGAGGTGGCTTTGAAGCCTAGATGCCCACGCTCTACCGATGCCATGATGCACTGCCTCATCATAAAAGTATGTGCTTGTGTATAGAACTTTTGTCGTGCCAGCATGCCCAAACAGCAGGGCACGAAGGGAGGAGACTAGAGAAGGAGCCAGTTCTTTTAGGGCCCATTTGGAGCAAGACAATAAACAGTGTATGACAATTGCAGATTCTGATCTCTCATGTTGCATGAGATCCAGCAGCAGTGGTGCAAGTGGGGGTGGGATCTAAGAGACAACAGTGCGTGTGCCAAGAGAAAGGGCACTGCATGCCTTGCTAACACGCATGCCATAAGTTCACTACCAGTGTACTAAGAGATGTTTCCTGGCTGCTGGGCTGGAATCAATGCCCAGTCCTGATTCTGAGATCTTGTGTGTTTCCTGAGGAATCCTGAAACCTAGCCATATAACTTTGGACCTTTGTATGAGTATATGGATTGACTTCTTGGTGTGACTTCTGGAATGAAACCTTTGATTGGTGGACATTTCTTTGCTGGACTATGAAATGTTATTTTGGGAATGCTGTTTGAGTCCTTGAAGTTGGAACTTTGTTTTATACTGTCAGCCGGGTGCTATCTTTATGTTTGTTATTGGACATCAAAGGGACTGCAATATCAGTAAAGATATTTTGGGCATGATCTGGGTGTTCCTTTGGTTAAACTCTGTCCAAATTACCATACATAGCCCTGGAAATTAACAATTATATATGGTTTCACATTTACATGGTAAGTCCTATTCCCCTACCAACCTAATTAATTACAAATATAAGCAATGTTGAAGAATGATAGGATTTGCAATCCAACATCTGGAGGCCTATATGATTCCCACAATAGAGTAAATCAGACTTTCCCAGTGTTAAATTCTCAGATTTTTCCAATATAAGATCCCCAGATGATGTCTGGAAATGATGGGACTTACATTCCAATCACATCTGAAGGGATTCAAGTTCCTCACTCTCATCTTTTGACAGAGAAAAAGTTATGATAACAAATCTTAAAAGGAACTTCATGATCATATTGCAAGGTAAAAATCCATTTTTCCTTCATCAGCATTAACTGAGTTTCCCAATATTTCCTTGGGTTTCATACTGGAGTTATTTTGCTTGATTCTTGCTTCATATTACAGTGGGAGGAAATATGGGTGTGTCCCCTTATTGAGATCAGTGATTTCCCAACCAGTGGAAAAGCCATAAATATGATGGCTTTCCGAGGAAAGAAAAAAGGAAGCATATGGTCACATTCAAAGGTAAGATTATTGAACATCATTCACCTGTTAACTGACAAAATGCTATGAATGACAGAAAGCCTAGAAGTCCATGTAGATCCCTCAAGACAGGCACACCCTTTTGAGGTCTTGGTGGTCAAAAAGACCAGCATGGAATTTGTTCACGGAGCAGACAAAGGTAATTATATCTGTTGCGGAATAAGCAGAGATAAAAGCTTGATCCAGATGGCACACTATGGTTGGAGGGAGCAAAGAATATTCAAGATCCTACCTTGCTTCAATTAAATTAGAATATCTCAGCATTTCAAATTCATATAACATTGGTTTCTATCACTTAGCCACCACAGACAATGATGAACCATAATGGGAGTAGTTGTTCACCAGCATGAGGAGTGTCTAAGTTTCTCGACCCTGATTTGGAACTAGGGAACAATGAAGGGCTATAGCTCAAATGCAGAACCCATTCTTTGCTGATCAACAACATCTGGAGACCCACACAATTCAAATCCTTGAGATAGTCAACTGGAAGCCAGTTTACTCTCCATTTTCATTTACCTTTCCATTTTCAAGTAATCACAGTTTGTTGTTCCAACAAAACTGGAATAAACAATGAGTCTTCAAACAAGAACAAGCACAACACAGACCCATCAATCTTTCTCATATGCCATCAAAAGCCAAAACATTTAAAATAGTGTATTTAGCATGGCAGTTCCCTGCCCCAAGTATTTTACAATCTCATTTTGCTTTCACATTATTAATTTAATTAGAAAACTTCATCAAAAAAATCTCAATTTTGACTAGGAATCCCAAAGTCTCACTCCTCTTCTCCTGTCCTCAAACTGAAAGAACCCCAATGCAACTAGGAAATTGTGTGTGTGCATGTGCATAGATTTATGTAGCATTTTAATCATTTATGTAATATTTTAATGGTGTATTTCACGTTGTATTTAATAATCTGGTTTTTATGAATTTATTTGTTTGTCTTGTACAGTATATGAAAGACCTACGGTCTAAGCATTAATTAAAGCTCAACTCTCTCTTTCTGTGTGTGTGTGTGTGTGCGTGCGTGTAGATAGATAGATAGATAGATAGATAGATAGATAGACCTCCCTACTCACAAGACTGTGATTTACCCACATCTGACAAAATATATCTTCGCAAGGCATTTTAGGTCTTCCAGCACAACTCTATAATATGTTTCCACTGGAAGTTATTTGGCCCTAAATTGATAAGGACTGGGATGCACTTGATCCGGTAACCATAATCTTGACATAAAAGAGATGATGGAGGAGAGCGTACAGCAATTAATTTAGGATTCAGTATTCATTCACTTAGTGCCACACTTTGAATTCATTATACAAATGGTTTGGGATTAATCAAGCATAAAACAAAACCAGTGCTAAGATTACAAAAAGATCTGTCAATCATGTGGTCACTCAGCTCTTATGCCAACAGTCATAGTTAACCAAGTTAAGTAATTAAGTTCCGTTTAACAACAAAGATGTTGGATTTCAGGATGCACACAGAATTGCACCAGAACATTTCTTTTCCATCCCTAGTTGTAGTACAGCTGTACCAGAAGCCTAAATTTCCTTTCTATGCATGTGTTTGTTTTGACCATGCATTTTGCAGTTGGGTGGTTCCTTCCAGGCTGCAGCCATAGGGCCAGCCACCTGCCTATCATTGTTAAGTTCTTTAGTTCCGCCCCTTTCCCCAGGGTTCTGGGAGGGAAAAGAAAGTTTTTAGTTCTGTCTTACAGTTTAGAAGCTCAGTTACAGGACGTGAGAGCTTTTCCCACCTGTAGCGATTCCGTTTCTTACAAAGCTCTCGGGGGAAATAGTCCCAAAGCTTCTGGGGAAGACAGTTTTCAAAGCTCTGGCTGGGGAACTTACAGCCTCACAGCTCTACAAGCCTCTAGGGAAGATAGCCCTAAAGCTTCTGAAGAAAACAGTTTTACAGATCCAAAGGTCTCCAGCTGGAAAATCTCTAAAGTTTTACTCAGGTATGCAAAAAGCAAACTGGAACCGGGAGTAAGGCCTCACGCCAGCCAGCCTAAAGACAGATTGCCCAGGGAAGGTCAGAGGGTTTTCCTTGTAAAAGAAAGAAATAGTTGTGAAGCAAGCTGCCTGTCCTTTGTGGGCAAGTTAAGAAGAATTTGTGTGTTTTGTTGAAGATCTAAGCAATAATAAAGAACTTTGTTAAACTTTCCAAGTTTCTAAAGACTTTGTTTAGAAAAATCCATAGGGCCTCTAAGCCGAGGCACCCTGACATCCCACTGGGCACAAAGAATACGTCCTGTTTTAAAAGACAATTGCTATAGGCCCAGCGCGTGTCAGCACACTAGTGCTACCCCACAAATCTAGTAGAGACCCTGACAGTAAAGGCATCAAGTTGGAAAACAGTGAGAAGAAGAGAAAGTAAAGATTCTTTAATGAATATTTGCAGACATACATCCATTCCAAATGGCAAAACTTTTGCAAGGTAATCAAACCTGACAAAAAATGTTCCAGTGCACAGAACACCCCAACCCCCCATGCACAAATCGCATAGCCAATTAATCCCATCAACCACACCACTTAGATTGCCATCCAGCATAGTCAGGCAGTTCTCAAATATCTTATCCTGTAATCATTTCAGATATCAGGTAACATACCCAGAATCGCACACACCCTTCTTTTCCCAAAGATCTCCACCCGACAGGTGTGTTGCAGGCATGTTATCAAAGCACAGGGTCTCTCTTTCAGCACTAGAAAGATTATAATGCTGCACACTCTACTCCCTTTTTCACTTTGATTACAAACTCAATGATATGGTAACACATTTTAAAGCATACAGTGACAGTAATTTTATACATATTTAATATAGAATATGCATATATTTAATATATCAAATTACTGTTAGCCCTCCACTTTTGCTGAGACTCAAAGGGAAGAACCTACATGAAAGTAGAAAATCCTGAATCAAAAGCTATATTTTTATTCAGTGGACACTTTTTTAGAAATCTCAAGGTTCTCCAACACAACACTATGGTCACTTTCTCCTAGAAGGGGCTCCACAAGAAATTTTGCTTCAAAAAGGACTCCACAGCTGAAAAAGTTTGGGAATCCCTGCCATAGAACATTCATTGATCATTGCGGGAACAGAGTGCTGGCTTTTAGTCACAGATTTTGGAATGATCCATGGATAAATTGAGGGCCGTTCTGTAGATAGAAAAGTACTAACATTGACTGAGGGGGTCAGTTGTCCATGACTGCCATCATTTTCCCACCTGGGCATTCAAAAAGACCTCTGTAGCAGAACAAATATAGGGGATTGGTGCTTATTTTAGGTTCTCCCAGGCAGGCCCATAGCCAGGATTTTGATTTTTGATTCGGGGGGAGCTGAGTTTGATTCGGGGGGGGGGGGGGGGCTGAGTCTGAGTGAAAGAGGGTCTACCCTAGCAAACCTTTTGTATCATTACCCCAATACCCCCATGCATATGGGATATATTGAGTATGGTGATCAGATCATGATATGAATAAACATAACAGTTTAAATAATGTACCAGTAAGGCCTTTGCACGACCCCATGAGAATTTGGGGGGGGGGGGCTGAAGCCCTCAAGCCCCCCCCCCCTTCCCGGCTACATGCCTGCCACAACCCGTTTTTACCACTTGAATTAACGGTTCCTTTTTAGACAAGTGTTAGGCTACAGTACTTACATTGTCTGTGGATGAGTCAATCCAGGTTTTTCAGTTGATATTTTTACAAAAAATCTAGAATTATTCCTATATACACTAGTAAAGATGAGGAGCCATTCAGAGACAAATAGTGGTGATGTTATTTCTCTAACACTCCTTCATGTGCAATAAGGTAGGCAAAGGTTTTTCTCTGACATTAAGTCCAGTTGTGTCTGACTCTGGGGGTTGGTACTCATCTCAATTTCTAAGCTGAAGAGCCAGCATTATCTGAAGACACCTCCAAGGTCATGTGGCCAGCATGACTGCATAGAGCGCTGTTTACTTTCCCACCACAGCGGTACCTATTGATCAACTCACATTTGCATGTTTTCGAACTGCTAGGTTGGCAGAAGCTGGGGCTAACAGCAGGAACTCACGCCACTCCCCAGATTCAAACCTGCAACCTTTCCGTTAGCAAGTTTAGCTGCTCAGCAGTTTAAGCCACTGCACCACCAGGGGCTCGAAAAAGCTTTACTTTTTTACTACTTTATGACTATTTCATTCAAAGACTCAAATCTTAATAAGATAGATACTGTCAGTTCTAATTATGCTTATGATACCTGTATATTTATTAATTTTGAGGAATTTTCTGTGTATAACCCTAAACACATGAGATGCCCTTCTTTCTCAACCACATCCCAGATACCATCTTTTTCCTAAGTTTGATCAAAAGACTTAAGGATCCTGAACCCCAAACCAGCTCCTGGCTAACTAGATCTGACAGATATTCCTGAAATGGATAACCCAAGTCCTTACCTCTGTTAGGTATTTCTTCATCATCACAAGGATTATAATACTGCTTCATGGCAATCCCTCTTCCCATCAGTGTTATCAACACTAGCAGCAGGGCTACTGTCAGTCCAGATTTAGTTGCCCCCCATTGGCATGCCATATTCGATTTCTGGGGATCCTCAAAGAGCTGCTTTCAATTGACCCTTCCTAGGATCTGAGAGAACATCAAGAGGGATGCCCTCTCTAAGTAACACAGCTCGCCTTTCTCCAAGATGCAGATGGTTTAATACCTAGCCCTGGGAAGGGCGGACACCGTGTCACCAAACCTGTTTGACATTGTTTTACATTTTGAGTCTGGTGTCTGACAGTCAAAGGGAGAAGCCAAAGGCATCCAGAGAGTCAGCCATTCACGTTCTTGTATCTCCTGAAGAATGTGACAGCTATGCTCCTGGAAAAGATGTGGTACCTAAGCAAATAAGCAAATGAAGAAGACGTCAGGCAGACATAGATGCTCATCTGATCTTTCAGCTGTCACAGTAGATCTTCCCCTGGTTAACTTATTTATCAGTTATTTAATTGTTTACAATGGAGTGGATGTAAACCTGCACATAGCCCCCAATCCCTATGTTCCTCCAATCCCTTTGTCCCCAATGCAAAAGGCCTTTGAACACATGCTGTAGTGTACATTAAAACAATTTCCCCATGTTGAGGATGTATTTGTGACCTATTTTAGTGTGACATCTTATGTAGTTCAGCCACACGTCCCAGTTATCATTAGGCATGGTTAGGTTCGGATGGAAAATTCATAATTCGGAAAGATTTGCTTTTTGAAGCGATTTTGAAGTTTTTAAGGAAACCGGAAGTCCTTTTGCCCTTCCGAAGCTTTTTCCGCCATTTCTGTTACAAAGCAGTAAGTGAGTCAGAAATGATTCAGCTTTTCCCAGCTTCTGGTCCCTGGACTTGGCTCAAGCCAGAGAAGCCATTTTAAACCAGAGTGGATGAATTTCCTCCCTTTCCTCTCCCCCTGCTTCTGTCTCAAGCCTGGGAAGCCGTTTTAAACCAGAGTGGATGAATTTCCTCCTCCCCCAACCCCGCTTCTGGATTAAAACAACTACTTTCAAAGTAAAGACCACCCAATGAAACAGGAAATAACACTTTCAGACCATTAAGGGAGGATTCAGAAGTCTCTGGATGTTTCAAAAAGTTTTGAACATTTTTTTCTGTGAAAATTGGAATTGACTTTAGAATCGAACCACCAGCGCCCCCTACATCCAAAATGAGTTTTGAACCATTTTTTTAATCAAACAAGCCTAGTTATCATCTCTAAAGTGTTGGAAATTTTGTGGAGTCATTGGACAATTGGGAGAACACCGCAGAAAAGGCAGCACCTTGATCTTTCATTTGTTATTGTTGCTGTTTCTTTCTATAGTGCTATCAAGCGTACATGGGATTTTGCATGTACACTTGTAAAACAACCAAAAACAATGGGTCCTGCCAGAGGCACGCAGTCTAAAACATGTTTGTATATACATACACATATATACAAAGAAGGAAAGAAGAATAAAAAACCTAAAGCTGTACAACACAATTACAAATCATTCAGATAAAATGAAAAATAAACAAATAATAAAATACAAAGCAAACTTATCAATACATGAATTCAAAATACACAAGACTGCAATATAGCATCAAACTAGCATTCCAAAAGTTTCTTGATAGTATCATCCTCTGTCCTATTTTTCTAGCAACTTCCCCTTAATGTGGAAGATTCCCTAATTAACACTTTTTTAAAAAGCTTTAGTGGATTAAGTCATTAGATTTTATTTAGATGGGTGCCTATATTTTTGGCAGCTAATATAACCAGGGTGTTATATTAGCTGCCAGAAATATGGGGCAACAATGCAACAAGGGAAATATGGGACAACAATGCAACAAGGGAGACCTACCCCAGGGTAAGCTGGATCAGCCCCATGAGTCTGCAGGTTTGAATCAATTGCACACCTCCATTCGGCGGTCATTCTGACAAAAAGAAAACTTTTCATTTCACTCCGTGATAATTGCTGCTACAGTTGTATCAGCTTTCCAAATGGCTTTTGTTCAGTTGAAAAGACTCAAGATCTGCTATCAACCGTAAGGTACATAGACATTTTTATTTCTAATATCTGATGAACAGTGAGTGAGATGATTGAGTACGGTTTGTTTATACAGCATATGGGCATGTCTATTTCCATTATATGTCAGGTGACGCATAGCAAGTGGCATGGTTTTATTACTATGTATTGGCTTGTTTATTGCTATGTTCTAATTATATTAATGTGTCTGGTAAGCCTATCTGCCTATCTGTGCTTTTCCTAACATGCGCTAACAGCCGAAAACACGAGAGAATGCTCATGAAATTTCTTTATCGTGTAAAACATCAGACTCAACAGGGAATGTAATGGGATTTTAGCTTGCGGTAGTGAAGATTGGAATCAATGGAATTACCAACTGTGTGGAAGTGCCCCCAGTTTTTAATCTGTTAGCCATTATACTTATGAATATTTTATAATCATTATTTAACAGAGAGATTGGTCTGTAGTTTTTAATGTTGGTTGCATCTTTTTTTTCTTTATGAATTAGGGTGATATTAGCATCTTGCCATGATTCTGGTAATTTCGAATGGTTCCAAATATTATTTATTATTTCTTTTAGATATGGGGTCAGTTCTTCTGCAAAAGTTTTGTAATATATAGATGTTAGCCCATCTGGGCCTGGTGCTTTGTTGATAGGTAATTTTTATGGCCTTTCTAATCTTGTCTTCATTCACTGGTTTATTAAGTAGTTCTCTTTGCTCTTCACTTATTTTCTCTAATTTCGGTTCCGCTATGTGTGTTTCTATTTATTCCTTTTCTATCTGGTCTTTATTGTATAGTTCTTTGTAGAATTCTCTAAATCATTTTGCTATCTCCTCATCTGTGAAGAAATTTTCCTCATCTTTTGTTATTTGTGTTATTATATGTTGTTGTCTTTTTTGTTAGCTTTTTTGCCAGCAATGCCCCAAATTTATTAGCATTTGCAAAGTAATTGGCTTTTAAGTATTTTAGATTTTTTGCTATTTGTTTTATTGTAACAAATTCATCTGTTTTTTTTAATAAGAACTCTAGGCAGGTTTTGTTATCTCCTGGTTTTGATTTTAGTAGGGCTTCTTTTTCTTCTAGTTTCTTCTGTAGGTTATATTGTTCCTCTTGTCTTTTCCTATTTTTGAGTATTCCTTGTTGTATAAAGTGCCCCTCATAACTGCCTTACTGGCATCCCATAATATTTCTGTTTTTGTTCCTTCTTTATTATTTAATTCAAATAATTCCTTGAGTAGTTTCCTGATATTTTCTATTTCTTTTTCTGATCTTAAAAGGTTATCATTTAATCTCCATCTCCTCATTCTTCCTTTCTCTTGTATCACCATTACCATCAGGCAGTGGTCTGTATTTGTTCTGGGCAGTGGTCTGTATTTGTTCTAACCTTTTTTATCTTTGTTATTAATGAATTTGTGGCCCATATCATGTCAATTCTAGGCCATGTTAAATGTCGGTCTGAGTAAAAGGTATAATCTTTTACCGTTAGATTTCTTGTCCTCCAGGCATCTTGTAAAAATAACTCATTTTTAACTGTGTTAGGCTGTGTGGTAGTTTCCCTCCATTTAAATCCTTCCTTTTTTTTAGTTTTATCTAGATAACATTCTAATAGCCCACTGAAATCCCCTAGTATTATTAATTTTTTGTAATTTTGCTCTTGTGTTTTCTTCTTTAGTTGTTTTACAAATTTTGATTTTGCTCCTGTGGGGGCATATATGTTACATATTAGGGTTTCTTGATTATTTATTTTTTTGCTTTTATCCCTACCATCCTCCCCTCTTGATCTTTAAATGTCAAAGATTCCTCTGTTGTTTCCTTTACATATATTGCCACCCCCTCTTTTTTTGTAATGTCAAGGAGTGAAATTTCTTGCTGAATTGTTTCTGAGTTAAGTATGAAACCTGTTTTTGTGAAATGTGAATCTCCTGTAAGGCAATAAAATAATATTTCCCTTTCTTTAATTGGTTGTAAATTAGTTTCCTTTTATTTGGTGTGTTTAGGCCATTTACATTATTTGAAAATATTGTCACTGTCATTATCAAATTCTTCGTTAGGTTCATTGGGTTCATCCTGTTTTTCCATGGCTTTGGTTTGCAATTCTTTGTAGTCTTCAGATGACTTGGATCTAGGTCTTGTCTTTCTTCTTTATATCCTTCCCATTCCAGTTTTCTTTTCTTGTTTCTGTTGTAGTATTTTCATTTCTCTCCTTTTCTCCATGCTTCTTGTTCATTTCCATAATTTTTAAAAATTCTTTATGAAATTCTCTTGCTTTATCTTCTGATGTTAGCCAGTGTTTGCCTTTGTTAAATATCACCAAAATTCTTTCTGTTTTTTCCCATTTAAATTTTATTTCATGTTTTTTGAGTTCATCTATAAGAAAGTAATATATTTTTCTTTTACTCATGGATGTTGAGGTAAATTCATTTAATATTATTACTTTTCTTCCTTTATATGTTATTAGGTCTCTTGATTTTTCTTTTAGAATTTCGTTCCAAACTCTTTTTCTACCAAAAGACACAATAATGTTTCTAGGTACTTTGTTCCTTCTGGCATAGTTCTTTGAAGGCAGTCTATGTTTTGATCCATTTCCTCTATTGTGATGTTTAGTATTTCAGCTGTGATCTCTGTAATTATACTTCTTATGTCCTCTTTTTCATGTTCTTCAATATTTCTGAATCTAAGCTGGAATTCTGTTTCTTTAATTGCCAGTAATTCTTGTTGTCTTTATAATTTTTCAGTTTTTTGATTTTTGCTTTTGTTTTTCCTTGGTTTTTCTTCAGAGTTATATTGTCATTTTTTTTATTTCCTTAATACTTGTTGCATCTCATCTATCTCTTTTTTTAATTGACTGCATTTCTTATTTTAGTTCTTTTTTCATCTTTCCCATCTCTACTTGAATTGTTTTTTGCATATTTTGTTGCATTTTTCCTTGATTTTCCTGTATTTTTTGCAGTTCTAACATCAAATCTTTGAGTGATAATTCTCCTTGTATTGAATGTCTTCTTACTGCAGTTGCTGTTAGTGCTTTATTTGTTTTTGTTGTGGTTGTGAATTTTTCCATCTTGTAATATTTAAATATTCTCTCCTTTATCTTCCTTTATCTTCCTTTATGCAATCTCTTTGACTTTCCTTTTTAATTTTTTTAAAATTAATTAATTAATTGGTTTGATTTATTTGTCTCCGCTGTATTGTTTCTCTTATTATCTGTTCTTTCACAGTATAGGTTTTCTTCTCTTAATGCCTTGTTAAAGTAGTAAATCTTATAGAGGTCCCACCCCTTTAATTTGATTGTATTTGATATCTTCCATTCTTTAGTATTTATTTATTTATATTATTATTATAAT